AGCAGGAGAGCTGAGGTCTGGATTCATGTGCTGCCTTAATTGTTGCTAGCCTTCATTTTTAGAACATTCTGGATCATGAGTGTGATGACCCTAGGACAGGCTGTCCCAGTCCCTTTGACTGAGAGTTTCAGGGAACTCAAGAATGTGGATTGGATGCTTTTGGGGAGAATTATGCCTCTGAGAGGATTTGGGAACCCCAATGGGGTAACTGAAGCACAGATCATCTGTGGGGACCGGACTTCTGAAGCTGGCCTCCTTCGCGCTGCCTCCTCTCTCTCAGAGTCCCAGGGCTGCCAAACCTGCCTCCCACACACCTCAGGAAAAAGTCCCTGGCACTCATCCAGTGCCTCACTGTTGACCTCCTGAGGTGTGAGCAGGAGGAAGGAAGGTTCCTTCCTTCTTTCTGAGAAATAGCCCAGCCATCCTCAGAGCTTCTCAGAGTCCCAGGCCTGGGTGCTCCTCTGCCTGCCTGAAAGGTGGCCGGGAGACTAGGATGGGAGCCTGTCTTCCATTTCCTGTGGCCATAGCAACACATTGTCCAAACTCAAATGGCTAGAAACAGAAATTCATCCTCTTTCAGTTCTGGAGGCAAGAAGCCTGAAATCAGCATCAGCAGGGAACTTCTCTTTGAAGTTCTGGAGAAGAATCTTGGATGCAGCTTTGGTGGTGGCCAGCAGCCATTGGCGTTCTTGACTTGCGGATGTATCACTCCCTTACTGACATGGCTGCTTTCCATCTGTGTTTCTCCTATTCTTTTTAATTGCCAGAGGATTCGTTAACTCATAAGAAATTGACTGAATAGATGGAGAGGGAGAAAGTACCCCCTCAAAGGGACATGGTCATGCCACAATCCCTTCTCCCTTTCTCCATCCTGTTGGGATTTTGCTTATGCATGCGCATGCACCTCATGTGTTTTTCAAACCTTAGTCAGCCATGTGGGATCTGACTTCTCTTAACCACTAAGCTATGCCATTGGCCCTCTCCTCCTCTTCTCAATAGGACACCAGTCCTGTAGTATTAAGGGCCCACCTTACTCCAGAATGACCTCTCTTTACTAACTATGTTTGTAATGACCTTATTTCCAAATGAGGTTATATTCTAAGTTTCTGGTGAACATGAATTGGATGGGTGGGGGACACTATTCAGTCCACAACAAAGTGCTATAATGCACCTCTCCTCCACCCCATTTCTTCAGAGCAGGCCCTTACACAGGGTAGGGCACTGTGGTCTCCCCAGAGGTGAGGCAGGCCCAGCAGTGGGCCCAAGATCACACTACAAACCCCTCACTCCAGGAAGGTAGACCTCACTAGGGGGGAGATAAGGGACAGAAAGTCTCTCTCAGAACAGGCATTGACATGCCTAGGGGACACCCACACATAATGATTTCCTGCTTTATAGAAATGTTTCTGCACTCCTTGGCTCCTGGCCAAACCCTAGCGCTTCCTGAAGGGCAAGGAGCCCTCCAGTAGGCCATCTCAGTCCAGGATCCTGGCCCAGACATGAAAGCTGGCATCTGCTCCTGCAGCCCCAACTCTGGCCTACTTTGGTTGCCTCCCTACTGGAGCTGCTAGGGAGGCTTCCTGACTGAGAGCAGCCCTTCCCTGGGGAAACGGCTGCCTTTCCTGTTCCAAAAACCATGAAGGAGTGGTGGGTTCCTGGGCTTCTTGTAACCTGGCTGAATATTTTCCAGGTTACCTAACCAAACTCCTGCAAAACCACACCGCCTATGCCTGCGATGGGGACTATTTGAATCTACAGTGTCCTCGGCATTACACGATAAGTATCGGCATTTTATGGGCAAGATTTCCAAATGTGTAGTTCTCAGCAGCCTGCCTCCCAGAGGGAAGACGGCTTAACCTGTGTGGCACCCACCACCTTGCAGGTATTGCCTTTCATAGATGTGTTAAGATGATAAAATGGCTTCAACTTATTTCTCTCTCTTCTTCTCTCTCCAAATACATTTATGACTATGTAATTTGCTCAAATCAAACCTGACCCATGAAATTTATACAAATCTCTAGTTTTTCAAATTAGCTATACTTATTATTTGCTTCTCAGAAGGATTCTTTACCAGACAAGTCTAAATATTTTTATTTTTTTGAGAGATTTTTGCTATAGGGCATGTGTGCTTGCCAGAGAGACAGAGAGAGAGAGACAAAGAGACAGAAAGCAATAAATACTCCCCTCCCCCCAGTGGGTATGACCATGCCAATAAATACTCCCCTCCCCCCAGTGGGTATGACCATGCCATTCCTTCATTCTCCTCAGGATTTTGGGCACGTACACACATGCGCACGTACGCATACACTTCTGCCAAGTCCAGGACTCGAACAGTGGTCAGTTGTGTGGGAGTCCAGTGATGTAACCATTATGCCATCTGCTGGTTTCAGACAAGTCTAAATATTAATAGAATTCCTATTGAAGTATTAGTGCACTTACACTATGAATGTACTTATAAGTGTACTACTTACTGCAGTAAGCAAAGTCCAAGCAGGCTAGGCCTCAGTCTCTGGGCCTACATCCTCCATCAATACCCCAGTAGAAAAGGGATTCTTTAGTGGAAACCACAGGTGTCTCTATGAGGCAGGCATCTGAGGCCAGGACCAACTTCTTAGAGGACATAGTCAAGAATGGGAAATATCAATAACTATGTTTGCTCCTCCCACTGTGATATTCATGTGATTCTCATTTGGAAATATTATGAGCAGCTTCTGATACATTTGTCCTATTACTAAATAAACATAGGTATTAGGGGAGCAGTGTCATTCTTTTATTTTATTTTATTTTATTTTATTTTATTTTATTTTATTTTGAGAGGTTTTCGCTCTAGGGCGCATGAGCTTGCCAGACTGAGGAAGACAAAACTAATCTTTGAGTTATGGATTTAGACTACTCATGAAATTCAGTTACAACTTCTACTCTGCCATCCCTGGTGTCTCAACATTTATAATTACTAATAGTTGGCCAAGATTACTGAGTCACTTGACTTTTTTTTTTTTTTTTTTTGCCTCCCAGGTTCCATACAAATACACTGAAGACAGAATTTAGAGCAGAGGGACCAGCAGTTAGCATAATGGCTATGTCGCTGGACTCCCACATAGTCGACCGTGGTTCGCGTCCCGGACCCGGTGGCTTAAAACTCACACCGGGCGCGTGTGCATGCACGCCCCAGATCCCTAGAGGAGAACGGAGGAGAAGGGATTGCGGCATGGCCATCCGCCCTGGGGAGTGATTTCTCGCTTTCTGTCTCTCTGTCTCTCTCTGTCTGTCTGGCGAGCACACGCGCCCTATAGCAAAAACCTCTCCAAAAAAAAAAAAGAATTTAGAGCAGGGAGTAAGGTAGAAGTCAATTTGACTTCATTAATCATAGAAATGTGGATAAAGATAAATTTACTACTAGGGTTAAAGACAAATAGAATTAGCTTTAATGCTATATAACTCTCCCTTAGGACCAAAGTGGAAAAGGGAAAAAATATGATAATGCTAGAATTTTTATATTTTCCAAACCATTTATTACTTCCATTCCAAGCATTATAGTATGAGGGTAGATCTTCAGAAAGTTCATGGAAAATGTCCATTATAAGGAAACTGCATTTATTCCAAAATTTATACCCTGAAATAAATGTATCCTTTTAATTTCATTTTTCTATGAATTTTTTGAAGTCCCTTCATATCTTGTAGTCACGTGACTGGTAAAAACCACTAATTGAGAGCCAGAAGATGGTGTGGAGGTTGAGGTTAATCCCCCATAGCCAGCTGTATGGTTTGAGTCCTGAACCTGGTGGCTTGAAAATCATACTAGACACATGTGTGTATGTGATCAAAATCCCAAGAAGAGACTGGTGGAAAAGGGATTGCAGCATAGCCATCACTCCTGGGGGCTGGTTTCTCATTTTCTCTCTTTCTCATTCTCTCTGTCTCTCTCTGCTGAGTGCACATGCACCATGGCAAAACAAAACAAAATGCCACTAATTGAGTAACCAGAAGAATCTTTGAATGGATGTCCTTGACATGATTCCATACTCTGAGGAGAAACAATGTGTTTCTTCAGGAGGCAAGAAGTTGCTTTCCCTGTGAACCACAATTCCTTGGCCTATTTTGTGTTACTATAACACAAGGCCTAAGGATGAGTAATTTATTAAGAACAGAGATTTATCTCTCTCAGTTCTGGAGGACAGAAGGTCCAAGATCAAGGTGTTGGCAGGTTTGGTGACTGATAAGGGCCTGTCTATGCTTTCAAGATGGTGCCTTGCATGCTGCATCCTCCAGAGTGGGAGAAGTATGGTTCCTTAATGGCAGAAGGGTAGAGCAGGCAAGAGGAGGGGACCACATTTGCCCTTTTATAACAAACACACTCCCATGATAACAAACCGACTCCTTCAATAATGGCAGTAATAATGGCAGTAATTCATGAGGGCTCCACCTACTCACCTCTTAAAAGTCCCACCTCTGGGGGCCAGCAGCTAGCATGATGGTTAAGGCACCAGACTTCTGCATGGCTGACCATGATTTGAGTTCTGCACCAAGCAACTTGCTTTCTCAGTTTCTCTCTCTCTCTCCTTCTCCTTTTTTGTCTCTCTATGGTGAGTGCACATGCCCTATAGCAAATTTTAAAAAAATTATAAAAATCATAAATAAAATTAAATGAATAATTATTATTTTTTTTAAAAAGTCCCACTTCTTAATACTATCACATTGGCAATTACATCTCATCATAAGTTTTGGCATGGACAGTCACTCAGACCATAGCACTCACACCAATTCTTCCACTTGGGTGCCACCCCAGGAGCTATATCCCTCTTGGACTGCCCCCATTGCTCACCAGTTTCCTCACTAATCCTTTCCTGGTACTCACACTGTGTGCTGCCCTCCCAAATGCACAAAAAGAACATTGACTAGTGCCAAAAGGGGAGAAGTGCCTACTTTGTGCAAGTATGAACTCCTAACATGCTGGAATTCCAAACTGTGGGCACCACCCTCACTCGTATGTGTGCCTGCCTCTGCCAGGTATCCCTGAGGGAAGAGGATGTTCCATAACCAGGATGACAAGTTAGCATTTGTGAACACAGTTCTGATGTTGTTCAGAGGATTCGTTTGCCAGAAACATCCTTGTGCACTGCTCTTTCATCCAGAGATCAAGAGATCCTTTCCGTTCTGTCTTTTAAACTGCATTGAGAGCAGACAAGGTGCTTCTTAGGTTGCCTAAGGTTGGAGAGAACAGGTTGTCCGTGTAGGAGGGCACAACTAACCAGCCCATGACTAAACATCAACAGGAAGTTATGCAGTGGGTCTCTGCATATTCCAGCTGGTAGCTCAGTTTGGGCACAATCCTACCCTGGGGCTTCCTCTCCAGTTAGAATGGTGGAACCTTTCAGTGACATCAGAGGCTGAGTCATTTCACCATGACCTTCGCCATGCCAGAGACTCGAACAACAGCAGTAAAATGATAGGCCTTTCTGTGACCCAGCAAGGGGTGTTCTGTGAGTTTCCACAGGGCAGATTCATTAACAAATGAGAGTTTCTTAGAAAAATCAGGACAGAGAGAGAGAGAATGGATTTGAAAGAAAGCTTTTAAGCCAAGTGCTCAGTAGAAAGTCCGAGTATTCCACTAAGAAAATTGCTCCGTAAGGGAGAAGTGGGGCTGTATCCTTATGTTTGGCAAACGTAGGAATCAGCTTTTTAATTTGTGCTCGTTGACTTGTGTTATGTATGAGCTAGAAAGAGCTTAGGTTTCCAAGTCCTCCCCAAAGCCCAGCTCTCCTGTGGCTGGTTTTGGGCTGTTTCTAAGGATGAGGAACTACAACTGCCATTCATGACTACCATAGTTTTATCAGCTTTTTGTTTTTGTTTTCCCTCTTTCAATTGCCAGAGGGCAATGTGCTCACCAGAGAGACAAAGCACTTTCGGATGGGGTGTGGTCACACCTTCATCCCTTCACCTCCTTTTCTCCATTCTGTCAGGATTTGGGGCATGTATGCCTTGTGCCAGGCTTGTTTTTCATGCCTCCAGGGCTAGATCCTGTGGATCTGGCTTTCTTAACCCCTAGTTTCCAGGGCTGGACTTGGTTTTCTTTTCCAAGTTTATTTATTTATTTATTTATTTATTTATTTATTTATTTATTTATTTATTTATTTCAAGAGAAACAGAGACAGAAAGAGAGACAGAGACAGTACCCTCAATAGGGTCTTGATACCATGGTCCACCCCAGCCTCAGCCAGTCTCAGATCATGGGCAGAGACATGCCCAGTATACTCAGAATGGTCTCTTGGGGGTGAATCCAGAAACTTCCCCGTGGGTAGCACTGCAGGGCATCACATTTTACCCCTGTGCCACTGTCCAGCCTCAATAGCTGCCTCAGTTTTATGAAGCCACGAGTTCCTTCCTTGAAAAGGGACTCCACACCTCTCCAGCCTGACACTCAAGGTATTTCGACTTCACTCATATCTCCTGCAGTGCTTTTGCTGGAAACTATTAGCATTAGTGCCTGTTGTGGCTGGTTGGAGGCTGGTTTTCTGATGGAGCCCAGTGCTGTAGAAAGATTTCTTCCTCCAGGAAGAAACAGGGAGACAGAGAGTCAACCCGAATAGCCCAGGGGTGTGTGCTTTCATCTTAGATGTGGCTCAGACCAGCATGAAGGTTTTCTGAGTGAACCTCAGATAGGCAGGGAGTACTTCAATGCAGATTTGGAGACTGGCAGACACATGTGTGGTTTCAAGCCTGTCCCTTTTCTACCCCTCATTCCAGAAGGTGCTGGACGAATGCCAGAACCAGCGGGCCTGCCACCTCCTGGTCAATAGCCGTATCTTTGGACCTGACCTTTGTCCAGGAAGCAGTAAATACCTCCTGGTCTCCTTTAAATGCCAACCTAGTAAGTAACTCTAAGGGGGACAGTGTGTTTGGGATATGGTTCACTGTTACATGTACACTTCTAACAAAAATTCTCTACCAGTTGATCTTCACCCAACTTCAAATTCTTGTTAATTCTGGAACATCTGAGTCCCATTCAATCCAACTGTTGAGAGAGAAAGAGATGTGGTATGTGTGTATGCACGTGTGTGCATGTGTGTGTGTGTCTGTGCACACATGCTTGAGCGTTCTTAGTGTCAGGCTGGAGGCCTAGGCAGCTTGGATGTGGGGGTTGGACACCACGCCACAGTCAGCTGATGCAACCCGGATCTAGTCTGTCATCAGACCTGCCCTGCACTCAGATCTAACCCGAAGGTAGCACCTGTGCTCTACTCTGCACATGCGCTCTACTCTGCACACAGGACTCTACTCTGCATACGTCACCAGATGTCACATGGTACGCGAGTCTACTCCCCCTAAACCTTGACCATACATGGACTGTTTCTACCTCTAAGACACTCCCTCCCCTATACCCTTATAAAAATCACTAAGTCCTGCCCCAGTATGTGACTTCTTTGGCCCCCTCTCTCTTTCTCTGTTGGACCAGCAAACCTTGCCCGGGAGCATTCCCAATAAAGGCTCTACATTTCTGTTTTCTCATAGGGCCAGCTCATTTCTTACACTTAGAAACACCTGAATTTATAAAATTCTCCTCAGTATATAAAACTCAGTTGTACTGAGTATGAGGGCTGGCAAGAGTTTGTTGTTTTTGCTCAAAATGAGGAGCTAGGGAACCAGCAGTTAGCGTAATGGCTATGTCGCTGGACTCCCATGTAGTCGACCGTGGTTCGCATCCCGGACCCGGTGGCTTAAAACTCACGCCGGGCGCGTGTGCGTGCGTGCCCAAGATCCCGAGAGGAGAATGGAGGAGAAGGGATTGCGGCGTGACCATCCCCCCTGGGGGGTGATTTCTCGCTTTCTGTCTCTATGTCTCTCTCTGTCTGGCGAGCGCACGCGCCCTATAGCGAAAAAATCTCTCTCAAAAAAAAAAAAAATGAGGAGCTAGGCCTCCTTTTTGGAGGCAGTCTTGTGAGGCTGAGCTCAGGAGAAGGACTGCTTGTGCCCCCTGCAGGCTTACCTGAGCGTGGGGTACAGATCTTTATGAACTGGCTTCTCCCGCTGCCATCCACCATGGCAGGGCTCCTTTGGTAATACTCGTTCCCAAGGATCTCTTATTCTGATTCTGCACTTTTCACCATTTCTAATGCACATCTGTTTTGTGGTGAACCTGCTGTGGGCCAAACATAACCAGTCAGCAAGTGGCTCATGCTCCCAGGTACAGAGGTCTGTCTGAGGGAAACCATAGGTAATTGTAGCATTAGAAGTCCCTGGACAGCTCGTTGAAAGAAATGATAGCACATGGAACCAACATATAAGGAATAATAGTTCATGAACCCCCACCTGTCACCAAACACAACCTTTCCACATTTTGCATTTTTTGTCTATTGGTTCCTGCCCTGGAACCCAGCATGCTCTGAGATGCTGGTTGCTGAGGTGGGGAGTTCAGGAGACCCCTCCTGTAGGGCCACATGTATGCCATGGTTTTGACTGTGTGGCTGGATACTTTCAGCAAGTGTCCAGGCTTCTTTCAAACCCTTTCCCTCCAAGGCTCAGACACCTCTAAACTGCCCTGTATTGTGCATGCAAACACTCATACCCACACCCATGTGCACATTCGTGCACACATACACACTCACACCATGCACAATACTCATGTACACATTATCATATCTATACTACCACATGCTTATACTCTACAGTGTATTCACACATGTACAGGCTGTCATGCACTTCACACAGATGCACACATTGTGCACACTCACACACACACCATGTCATACATGCCTGCACACACTCACATGTACACACTATCACAGGTACCCACAAGCAGTCCCAGACATTGCAGAATAGCCCAACCCTCCTTTGTGAGTCCCTCTGCCAGGCATTCTTATCAACCCTGCCTCTGTCCACAGATCAGAAAAATCGCTTCAAGATCTCTGAGTTCTTCATGACATACCTCACATGGCAGAATCTCAAAAACGAGACTCCCTTGACTAGGCCCTGGAGTTTTTTTATTTGTTTGTTTGTTATAAAGCATGTACACTTACCAGAGAGAGAGAGAGAGGGAGGGAAAGTGAGAAAGCACCCCCCATGGCGATGGCCACAGCATAGTCTCTTCTCTTCCCTTTTCCTCTCAGGATTTTGGGAACACACACAAGTGCCCGGTATGTTTTTCAAGCTGCTAGGTCTAGGACTGGAAACTGACAGCCATGTGGGGTCCAGTGCCTTAACCACCATGCCACCGGCTGACCCAGCCCTGGACCTTTTACCCTGCAATTAGCTTTGCTGTCTTTTTATCTCCTACCCCCCACTCCCCTCTTCCCATGGTGAAAATGAATACCCCTTCTAAAAGTGGCCTTTGTTCAGAAAGTTAACAACTGGAGACTCTGAGCAGTAGGAGTGTGACTGTTTATTGTGGTATTCTTTTGCATTTTCACATTTAAACTTTTTATAGGTTAAAAGTCAGGAAAATACAACCTCTAAGAAGATTCAAGTGACACATGTAAAATTGGCAGAACCTTGGATAAGTCAGTGCTCGGCTGTGCCTCATCACTACAGGGTGGGGTTTAGCCTGTTCATTAATTTCATTTCGGCAAACTGATTAAGCACCTACTGTGCACAGTGATGGATTGAGTGTTGGACATAAAGAGCATTCACCTCCTGCAGAGGCTTCCTGAATGGCAGTCCTATGACAGCATCCTACTTTATTTTCTCCACAGTGTAGCATCATTTGGATTTACCTTATTTGTGATTTGAGTGTTATTTACACACACACACCCCCATCAGCATGTCAGCATTGTGAGGGCACAGACTGTACCGTTCACCACTCTAACCCCAGAACACAAGGTGCTCAGTATGGATCTATGGAACAGATGCATGCTAGCAGGGCCAAGTATGTGCTTGGCATTGGAGAAACCCAGGTGAGCATGTCCTAGGTAGCCTAGCATTCATTGTAGAATCAGAAATACATACAAGATTCCAAGGGAAAAAGCCCTTGGTTCTGTGCAAGTAATTTGTAGGAAGAATCAGCCTTCCCTGGGATTCAGTGGAGGCTTTTCTGAGCAAGTAACGATAGAGTTGAGAACTGCAGGGATAGGGGACAAGGAAGAGCCCTTTGGCTGGAGGGTGCAGGAGTGCTGGTGTAGCCAGTGAAAGGGCCAGAGGGACTGGAGCTGAGGGAGCAAGGGGGAAGGAACATGGGCTGGAGACCCAGAGCAGGAGTCAGAGCCCTTATGCCCTTATGGCTGAGGAAAGAGTCTAGAGTGTCTCTGATGGGCAGCATTTAATTAGGGAGGATGCTCTGTTGAGGTTGGAAAGGCCCCCTCTGGTTGCCCCCTGGAGAACAAAGTAGAGGGCAGAGCCACATGTAACCTAGACATTGACAGCTGGAGGCCCTGCAGCTTGAGGGCCTACTGTCTCCTTTTCCGCACCTTCCCACTTCCCTAGGTTCTTCTCTGTCTTCCCAGTTCCAGCCCCTGCAGGATACTCTGACTGTCCAAAGGTTTTATTGTTGTCCTTAGTGGTGTGTGGCACCAGCTCTATGGTGAGGGCCAATTATGCAGTCTCTTTGCAGCTCTTCCCAGCTCTCCCTGTGTTCTGTGAATTCTGCCATGATGGGAGCATTTACACCAAAGAAATTGGCAAATCCTACAAATGAGCAATTATTTGTTATTGCTTCGGAGAGCTGTTTCACCAGCAAGCCTTATTAGGACCTTTTTCCTTAGCGTGAACCATGCTCTTCGCCATCCCTATTCTAAATTTCATCTTTTCAGAGAATTTTGGTTTCTGTGAGACTATGGATCTGAGCAATTCTGAATAATCTATATCCCTTTCTGCTGTGTAGCTGTTGTATAACCCTAGGCAGAGTAGGGACACTTTCTGAGGCTCCAGGACTCAGTTGTAAAATGAAGATAAGGCCCCTTCTATGTGGGGTGGTTGTGAAGATTGTAAAAATACAATGTGGTATGGAAACTTTTTAGCACAGAACTTGCCATGGAGTTGAGTTCAGTAATTGGTAGCAATTATTCCGATAAGTAGGTTAAAAGAATTCTTGCTAAAGATGTGAATAAAAGGCAGTGATGTACTGAAGACTGACGTGAGGGGATGCGGTAGCGTGCCCTGAGTGCGGACATTAGCAGAGTGCATGGTCTATAGGGAATTTTAAAAACATGGTAAAAGTGACTGAATGTCTGCATTTTGGTATCATCATGCAAGGACAGTTGGAAGCACTGGCAGTAATGAAATACTCCCATCATGGCATCCTAACTTCACTGCCCACCTGTGAAAGGCCACTGCTGATAAGCAGATGTATATATATGTATACTTAAAGAACAATTGAGGCCCAACCACATTGGTGTTGCGTAGTGCAATGCTCTGCAATGCTGGGAGCCATATGGGAGATCAGAGTTCCACTCCCAGGCTGACTAGTACATGCCAATCAAGAACATGGGTGCCTGCAATCCTGACTGCTAGGAAAGGCTGGGGAGGGATTGTTGCTGGAGATTCTGTTGAGGTGTTTGTCTTTTGCTCTCTTTGTCTCTCTCTCTTGAAATTAATTAATTAGAAACTTTAGAAAAAGGAAAAAAATTCAATGACCCACATAGCCCCTAACTGGTAGGCTTGACAGAAAGAATTTTGTGACCCTTCTCTTTAAGTAGTCATTCTGCCTTCCCAGGCTCCTGTCACTCTCCATCGAAACCTGCCAGAGTATTGGTGACCCACTTCTGGAAAGCTGCCCACACTTTCTCTAATCTGAGAACAATTGGGAATGCTGACCCTTCTCTAAAACAAATTCTAGTCTTCTGAGAAAAGTGGTATTTCGTTGGTAGTCCCATTGTCTTTAGAACACAGAAATGCCACTCCTAGGTGACAGTGAGCTAGCACATTCCCAAGGAACCAAAT